AGCAAAGCACAGGGACCGCGGTTCAATCCCCCAGCACCACATGCCAGCCAGCCCCGCCCCCTGGTGGGCTGAGCTGGACACACACACACAAAAATAAAAAAAAAAGTTTGATGAAAGAAAGTAACTCCTACACTCCCCAAACAAACCTGATAGGGAAATAAATATAACAGGCAACAAAGATGGCACTCAGGCTAGAACAGCCCTAAAGGGTTTCCTCAAATGCACATTTGAAGATCCCTGACAACTCATCAAAACCAGGCTCCTAAGAATAAAACAGGAAAATCCCAAAGGTCCACCTCAAATTGAAATAAGGGTGCACATACACAACAAGTTTTTCTCAGTTTGTAAGGTATACAGTAGACATCACAAAAATGTAATTTTCATGTTGTTATAGTATTTTTTTCGCAAGTTCATTTGTATTAAACTTTATTATTACAAAATTTCAAAAAGTACAATAAAAGATTAAATGAAACTGGGGCCAGGGAGATGGCTCAGTAGAATAAGTGCTTGCCTGGCAAGCGCAAGGGTCTGAGTTTGATCCCCAGTTCCACCAAAAAAAACCTCAAACAAACCAAAAAAGATTAAATGAAACTGGTCTACATGAGTTCCTTGGAACCTCTTTTCACAACCCTGTCCACTACTGGGCAGTCAGAAGGAAGGAGAGCAAGCCAGGTGTGGGTACAACCTGTAATGCCAGCATTCTGGGCAGCTGAGGCAGCCAAATTCACTACAAATAAGAGCGTTACTTATGGTTTCAGACGTATGTCTGAGTCAGAAAGGACTCTCTAGTCTTCCAGGATGTGGCCCCCCCATCTCTAGAGCCAAGTGCAAATTCCCTAGTCACACAACTCACTGGGGTACAGGAAAAAAAAAAATCCTAACAGAGTACACAGGAGGGCATTCAGTTCCTGCAGGACATGATGGGATGGCCCTACGCCTATGGCACTGGGTACACCACGCCTGTGTGGCCTTTACAGAAACACAAGTACTCACCTGCACACAAAAGCCCAACCACTCTTTGTGACAGAGAATCTTATCATGTCTCTTTTTTTTTCCTGAGACATGGTCTCACTATGCAGGTTAGGCTGGTCTTGAGCTTACTTTGTAGCCCAGGCTGGTCTCAAACTCTTTTTATTTTTTTCCCCAAAACTCTTAACAATCCTCCTGCCTCAGCCTCCTGAGTGCTGGGATTACAAGCAGGCACCACCACACCCACTAAGAATCATTTCATGACAAAGCACTTAAAGAAAACTTTTCACATTTCTGCTTAGAGTCTGCTGGTTTGGGGTGCCTTTTTCTTTTTTTTTTGGGGGGGGGGGCAGTACTGGGGATTGAACCAGGCAATAAGTGCCAGGCAAGCACTTATTCAGGATTTTTTTTGAGACAGAGTCTCACTATGAATTCCAAGCTGGCCTTGAGCCTTGAACTCACCATGTACAGCTCAAGCTAACCTCAAACTTGTAGCACTCCTCCTGCCTCAGCCCCTTAAGTGCAGGGATTATAGGTGTGCACTACCACACCCAGCTTTTCTTGGCTTTTTGAGACAGGTTATCACTAGGTAACCCAGGCTGGCCTCAAACTCATGGTCTCCTTCTGCCTGTCAAAAAGTGCTGGGATTATAGGCATGTACCATCATGCCTGGTTTCTCCTGTTTTTTAAACAAATGTACTACATTTTATAATCAGACAATAAAAATATTAAATACCATCTCTAGGAAAATGCTACATGATAAACTCTCACCTGGCTCAACCTCATGTCCATCAAAGTGTTTCTTGCTTGCCCAATCTTCCTCATGTCCAGCTCCCCTGTGCCAGGGGTCATCAGACCTGGTGTCATTCCACCTGGGTATGGAGTGTTGAGCCCGCCTGGATAGGGTGTGTTCAGACCTCCAAATTGCTGGGGAACAATACAATGCAGCTTATATTTTCATGCTGTAGAAACATAACTTCAATGGACTCTTCCCAGGTGGCCTCACACAGGCACAGCTGCAAACACAGACTCAGACACAGCAGCACACCAGGGACCTGCAGAAGGGTGCTATCTAAACCAAGGAGCCCCATTCACCTTCCTACCAGATGCTTACAGTTTGCCGGGGATCCACAGAAGTATGATTCTCTCCCGTCTGTAAATGTTTGGCGAAAAAGCTATCAGGAACAGGAGTCAGCTTCTCATAGCGTGGATTCCGCTGACGTTTGTTTCTGGCATCCCCAACTTCTGGGATGCTCAGCCATTCTTCTTCTGTGACCTCTGCCAACTTCCTCTGGAAACACACAGCCCTAAGCTGTCAACTTTCTGCAGGGTTTCATGCCAGGCAGGTCGGCTCACCTACCCCACCCTCCATCATCTTCTGCTTAGAGAAATCAATTTATGGGATGTGTTCTAATCACTAAAATGTAAATTATTCTGTCAAAGGCGAGACTGTAATCTTAGCTGTTCAGGAGGCTGAGGTGGAAGGATCATCTGAACCCAGGAGTTAAAGACCAACCTGGGCAACATAGTAAGATCTCACCTCAAAAAATAAAATAAACACAAAAATAAATAAACAAAACAAAATGACTGCAGCTCAATGGCAGAACCCTTGCATAACCTGTTAAGAGTCTTGGCTAGGTCCCCAGCTCTATGGGCTATCAGGGAAGATACCCCATCTATCCGCTCACTTTGAGATCTGAAAACTGCTGCTGGATTTTGGGGCGTTCCATTCGATATTTCTCAATCTCTTCTTTCTCCCTTTGTTCTCTAGGAAAAAAAAATGTGTCTGTATTAGAATACTTAATATTCATTTCAAAACAAAGATGGTTTGCTATACATCTTAATTATTAAAAAAAAACAAAAAACCCACATATTCAGCAGCTAATTCACGTTTGTTTGTTTGCTTATTTTACAGTACCTGGGATCAAACTCAAGACCTTGCGCTTGCCTGGCAGGTGCTAATGCTGCTAAGCTATATCCCTGGCCCATAAGTATACAATAACTATAGATTCATTCATAATTTTTTTTTTCTTTGTGGAACTGGGGATTGAACTCAGGCCCTTGCATTTGTAGGGAAATGCTTGTTCCACTGAACCATCTCCCCGGCCCCCTCATTCATAAATCTTAACAGCTCAATTATCTACCAAACGAAAACAGACAGAAATTCAATAAAATAAAAGAGAAAAATATCCTTTTTTTCTTTTTGGCAGAACCGGGGATTGAACTCAGGCCCTTGCGCTTGCCAGGCAAGCACTTAGTCTACTGAGCCATCTCCCCAACTCTTTTTTTTTTTTGTAGTTTTTTGTAAGGGTCTACAGGCTACAGGGTCTCACTATGTAGATCGGACTCATAGCGATCTGCCTGTGTTCAGCCTCCCAAAGAGCTGGGGTTACAGGCACACTCCACCACACACAGTTTCAATCACCATCTCAGCATGCCCCAGAGAGAGCCAGCACGAGACACAGGGATAGAACCCTGGCCACTGCATTGGCCTAAGCAGGTGTTTTAATCCACTGAAAGATATCCTTTTATATCACAACAAACCTATCATAGGCTAAAACCCTAGCCAGGAATCCCAGCACTCAAGAGGCTGAGGCAGAAGGATCCTCATGAATTGGAGGACAGCTTCGGCTACATGGTGACTTCAAGGTCAGCCTGGACTACAAACCAAGACCTTGTCTCTAAATAAATAAATATTAGAAAATACTATATGTCCCCAGTTGAAAATGCACCTAATTCCGCAGCTCAGCTATACAGTACACAGCTACAAGCAGGGTTCAGTAGGTGCTGTCAATACCCAGCATCTCAATGGGAAATCTTACTTGCTGCAGAAAGATCAAAATCTCAAACATGGCTTCTACTGAATATTTACCACTCTCCCGCCATCATAGAGTTGAAAAAATTGTGAGCCTGTTAAGTTGGGGACCATCTGTAAGTACATCCCCTAGAACACAAGCACAATGCATTTGCTGGTTTAAACTTCACAAACCTCTAAAGCTTGGGCCACCTATGAATACCTATCTCAGAAGGAAAGTAAAATATCACCTTATTTCTCATCTAGCTCTTTGTTTACCTATCAGTTTCCCTCTCTTCCAAGTGAACATCTCACTCCTAACAAAGAATAAGCCAGATAGCTCAGTGAACTAAATCACCTGCTTAGGCAAAGTGCAGTGGCCGGGGTTCGATCCCCGGCATGCCATGCCATGCCATGCCATGCCATGCTGCCCCGGCCCCTGCCCCTGAAGACGGCGATTGAGAATGGGCCTGATGGCACACACCTGTAATCCCAGTACTTGGGAGGCTGAAAACAGGAGAATCACTACAAGTCTGATCTACCTGGTAAGACCCTGTAGACTCTGCCCTAAATACATTTTAAAAAATAAATAAATTTGGCGGTTCCAACATGGCGGAGCTGACGGTGGAGGTTCGTGGCTCCAACGGGGCTTTTTATAAGGGATTTATCAAAGACATTCATGAAGACTCCCTCACAGTTGTTTTTGAAAATAATTGGCAACCAGAACGCCAGGTTCCATTTAATGAAGTTAGATTACCACCACCACCTGATATTAAAAAAGAAATTAGTGAAGGAGATGAAGTAGAGGTATATTCAAGAGCAAATGACCAAGAACCATGTGGATGGTGGTTGGCTAAAGTGCGGATGATGAAAGGAGAATTTTATGTCACTGAATATGCTGCTTGTGATGCCACTTACAATGAAATAGTCCCATTTGAACGACTTTGGCCTGTCAATCAAAATAAAACTGTCAAAAAAAATACCTTCTTTAAATGCACAGTGGATGTTCCTGAGGATTTGAGAGAGGCATGTGCTAATGAAAATGCACATAAAGACTTCAAGAAAGCAATGGGAGCCTGCAGAATATTTTACCACCCAGAAACCACACAGCTAATGATACTGTCTGCTAGTGAAGCAACTGTGAAGAGAGTAAATATTTTAAGTGACATGCATTTGCGAAGTATTCGTACGAAGTTGATGCTTATGTCCAGAAATGAAGAGGCTACTAAACATTTAGAATGCACAAAACAACTTGCAGCTGCTTTTCATGAAGAATTTGTTGTGAGAGAAGACTTAATGGGCTTGGCAATAGGAACACATGGTAGTAATATACAACAAGCTAGGAAGGTTCCTGGAGTTACCGCTATTGAGCTAGATGAAGATACTGGAACTTTTAGAATCTATGGAGAGAGTGCTGATGCTGTAAAAAAGGCTAGAGGTTTCTTGGAATTTGTGGAGGATTTTATTCAGGTTCCTAGGAATCTTGTTGGTAAAGTGATTGGAAAAAATGGCAAAGTTATTCAAGAAATAGTGGACAAATCAGGTGTTGTTCGGGAGAGAATTGAAGGAGACAATGAAAATAAGCTACCTAGAGAAGATGGGATGGTTCCATTTGTATTTGTTGGCACTAAAGAAAGCATTGGAAATGTACAAGTTCTTTTAGAATATCATATTGCTTATCTAAAGGAAGTGGAACAACTAAGAATGGAACGCCTGCAGATTGATGAACAGCTACGACAGATTGGTTCTAGGTCTTATAGTGGAAGAGGCAGAGGTCGTCAGGGCCCTAATTACACCTCCGGTTATGGTACAAATTCTGAGCTGTCTAACCCCTCTGAAACCGAATCTGAACGTAAAGATGAGCTGAGTGATTGGTCATTGGCAGGAGAAGATGATCGAGAGAGCCGGCATCAACGTGACAGCAGGAGACGCCCAGGAGAAAGAGGCAGAAGTGTTTCAGGGGGTCGAGGTCGAGGTGGACCACGTGGTGGCAAATCTTCCATCAGTTCTGTGCTCAAAGATCCAGACAGCAATCCATACAGCTTACTTGATAATACAGAATCAGATCAGACTGCAGACACTGATGCCAGCGAATCCCATCACAGTACTAACCGTCGTAGGCGGTCTCGTAGACGAAGGACTGATGAAGATGCTGTTCTGATGGATGGAATGACGGAATCTGATACAGCTTCAGTTAATGAAAATGGGCTAGGTA